ATAACCACATAACCAGATAACCTGATAACCAGGCAAGCGTGAACAACCAAAATAAAAAATATTTCTTGTTATTTTTCTTGAGAGCTGGGTTCTAAGGACAAAAACCCCCAAAAGCCAGTCCTTGTGTGCGCTAATGACGTACATATGTACATTCTCATGCAGTTATAGTCTACATCTTATCAGAAACATCTTATCAGAAATCACAATAATCATTCTAGAGTCTGTGAATTGGCTGTTGGCACAATTAAACAGCGGTCAGTTAAACCATAAAAAGGTCTACCAAGGGTGGAGTGTAAAAGAAGAATTTTCGAGAAGAGAGAGTACAGATATTTGGTGGAAATTATCGATTTATTTCGCTCATCTTTGGCCGAAGAAATTTCACCGCAACGTAATTGCAACGACAGCAGCTGCAACAAATTACTAAAATGCAGACACTTACACTTGTGCGCAGAACTCTGTAGATATAGCCGATGACTGTTATCCAAGGCTTTTGCCAAGTATTATCAAATTTTGAAGCAATGCAGTAAACATATAAAAATGTATACACGACCTCTCTTTCAAAAGATGTATATGTACATACATATGTACATACAAAAAGATGCATGCATACATGTAAATAATTTCCTTTCTCTAAATTTATTTTGATCATAAAGCGCATTTGTGACCCTAAGCCACTTTCAGGCGCCGCTACCAGTCAATCTACTGCACAGGAAAAGAATATGAGAAATGGAAAAACTCTGTGCTCTTTAATATCTCTAGTCTCCACGCCCATTTAGGTAGGTAGGTACATATATGTATGTACATACAAACAAGAACAAAATGATTTTGCACTAATAACACTCGAAAATGCACTGAAAATGACAAATTAACATGAAATCCTTTCCTGTGCTAAAAATATGCAAACTAGCAAAATATTGCTGGAAGTAAAAAAAAAAACGATAAGGCGTGGATAAAACATGGTATGTACAAGTAAATTTTTAGAGAGCCACAAGAAAACTTTCCACATTATTACATTGCAGTTGTTGACAGTTGAGCGGCCTCATAATTTACTTTTCATTGCACAAAAACGCTTTTAGGCATTTTTAATTTTATGTTTTTATACATACATTCATATGTAGGTATGTATGTATGTACTTACTATAAATTTATGTATGTGGGGTAAATGCTTAAGATTATGTAAGAAATACATTTCCAAACAAAATTTCTAATATGGTAGCTGTGACCAAGTGTTAGAGGTGCGTACTCCCACTCCGTAGGACCAAGGTTCGACCCCTTACATTCCTTGACAAAGCTTCTCATAAAATTTCATTGCCGTTCGGAATCAAAACGCAGAAGCTCGGCCAAAAACTTAGCAAAAGTGTAGGCGCATTCATAATGATGAAACGTTTGAATAAATTACACTTTCAAGATTTTATTTTTTTGTAAAATTAAAATAAAAAATATATACATATGTGCCATCTCATACAATATTTACACCTCAATATTTTTTTGGGTGAAATATATTTTTTTACATTCTTTATCGCAATAAAAAGAAGACAGCTATTTTTTTATTTTGTCATGATATTCAAAATTCTCGAAAAAAAAATCCCGAAATTTTGAACTCACGGAGTAGTATCTTTTTTTAATTGTTTGCAGTTAATAAACTATTTGTCGGAGAAAATCAGTTGAGGTATCATAAGAGTGTGAGATAGATTAAAATAGAAAATAATTTGCATTAAAAAATCGCATTTTTTATTTTTTTATTAACTTCGTCATGTTTGATCTTTATTTTTTCAACCTGAATAGTTATCAAAATGGTAATCGGTAATTATTAATTTAAAAGTGGAAATAATGGTAATTATTCATTTAGCAGATTTAAAAAAAAAATAATAATTAATTAAATCGGTAATCATTACAATTTATAATCATTACTTAACAGCTCTGGTTGGTAGTTAGCTGAAAACAAACTGGCTTTTTGTGCGACATCATCATGTAAAAGTAGTCAGTTGAAAGGAACGTAAAGCAGTCCGAGTCTTAGTCAACCCTGGTTGAAAAAAAAGTGAACTTATAGTGCATTTATAGTTAGTTGAGTTTCCAACAGGGTTAACTGATCCCAATGTATCCCGTCTTGCAAATAAAATAACAAATAAAAACGAATGGCCTTATTCATAATAAAAAACACAGTAGCTTCAATGAACAGTATTGCCAAGGAAAATAAATAGAGCGAAAATTTATTTAATACGATTGTTTAAAAAATAAAATAAAAAATAGGTAAATTTATTAACTGAAAAATTTTGTTTAAGGAGCTAAGTAGCTCCGCTCCAGCTAAAATTGTTTGCTCCTTAGCTCCTTTCCTCCGTTGCACCGCTCTGAAGCCCTGGTTTTTTCGCCTTTCCGAAAACCGCCGTTACATGCAGTGTTGCCTTTTTGGTAGATATGTACCAAATTTGGTAGAGTATTTTGCAAAATTTTAAGTTTGCTATCGGTGGACTCTTTTTCTATTCGGTAGATTTTTCCAAAAGGTATTTTGGACTTTATTTATTTCAAAGAGGCGGCAACTATAGGTCGAATAAGTCTAACATATTTTAAATTTATACTTATGGAAAAAGATTTAACTGATAAAAAGCTTGTTGCATTTTTAAGGCAAGATCGTAATTCCTCCACCCGTCAAAACTTCTCTGAATTCCTGATTCAAATCATTTCAATTGGCTTTTGCTGAAGTCAATTAAGCACCAATAAAATACACACATACATACATATATGAAACAAATTCAACAAGGTCTGAGTTAATTTGTATACCCATCAAAACTATCCAACCTAGCGCTTTTAGTTTTTTACGAGTGCCCAACACTTGGTTGGTTTTTTAATTGATCTAAATAACTTTTCGCAGTAGATAAGATGCTGGCATAATTTTTGGACAAGTGGTAGCGCTTCAACAAAAAGAATTCTCTTCCAGTATCCTATAGGGTTAACATTTAATGGATTTACTCTCGGGATAATCGAAATACGCTGAGAGGAAACTTCCGGGATGATTATGAGGCTTCCACATTGCTGGACCAGAATTTTTCGATCTAATGTGATCGAGTATTCATCGCGATTTATCGAATCCTTCATGAATAACTCTTTCTGGTACTTAAAAAAAAAGCAATTTTTTAAACTTACTACTTTTTTAAGGTTTGGACGAGGCCGAAGTCTAAGCGAGTGGACAAAAACTGCATACTCAGAATTTTGAATTGGCACTCAAAATCTTGGCTTAGGGTTTGTAGCCCTCAAACAAAAATATGTTAACCGTTTTACCTTAAGGGTTGCATTTTTAGGCACATTTGTGTATTATAAAACTTGAAAAACACTTTAGTGAAATCTTATTTTGAACCGAAATGAACTGAAAAATTTTTTGGGCTGGTTTTCGGTTCGGTTTCTGTATTCCGCAAAAAAAAGGATCGGTACGTGGTTCAGTTCAAACTCCGAAAAAGTCGACGGTTCGATTCAAAAACTGATTCAGTTCAAAACCGCTTTGCAACCCTGCTTACGATATAGCAACCCACTAGTTACTATCAAACAAGGACAAAGAAAAATAAGCAAATGAGCTTATAAAAATTGCACGTACTGTTAACTTCAACGAGCACGAGAAAGTAGATGACGACGATAAGACCAATCTTGCAGATACTACAAGTATTTTATATGTACCCACGACTATAACACCAACTTTCGGAATTTACTGGGCCAACAATATATAGATATGTATGTACGTACATATGTCATATGTATGTATGTATGCCTAATCTCCTTATTCACCTAGTATTATTCGTTTTAGCAATCACTCATTGCAAACATATAAATATTTAAATCACTTGATATGAGTAAGCACATTAGCGCGACTACGCTGCGTTTCACACCAAGCATTTCCTTCCGGTAGGTGGCGTCCTGCGTTGATCTCTACACATGCTCAAGCGAAAATCAGATCGTTAAGCAAAACGCCCAAACAGTCTGCTGGTCATGTTCGGTGACACCCACAGCATGGAAAAGCAACAACAACAAAAAAAAAATAGACCTGGTGGTAGAGGTTATGTAGTTCCGCAAAAACAGAAACAACAAAACCAACAGCAATTACATAGCACCAGAGTGCATAAGTGCCGTCAACGACCAACCAAACGCACATTATTACACGAAGCGTTTTTCTTGTTTTGCGAACGAGTTTCTAGCGCACAGGCATGCGGGCAGCGCCAACGACAGCGACAACATTTAAGTTGGGTTTTTTTCTGCATGTAAAAAACTTTTGCAAAGTCATACTAACCGCCCTCAATCATGTTGCGACAGCAACCGCAGCCATGCTCACACACCCCAGCGATCAGCAGCCTCATTGACACAAAGGCTCAGCAGAAAACTGCTTGTCCAATGCTGCCCCGAAAATCGTTGATGCTCGCATGCGGCTAGAGACAAATTGCAGTTGTTGTAAACTTCCATTTTTCAATTTTGTGCGGAAAACGCACATAAAGATACAAAAAGCAAATCTAAGCCCTGTAAAGTGAAACTACCAGCAGAAAAGTCGATAGAAAAAGCGAACAACAAGAACAACCACAATCAAACAGTAAAAGTGTTGATGGGAGTGAAATGCAATACATACATACA